GGCGGGGGGCAGAGCCGGCGGGGTCCCGGCCGGCGGGTCTGCCAGCTGCCCTGAGGGGGGAGTGGACTTTGGAGGGGCGGCGGTGCCCGGGCAGGGGGAGGCAGGGCTTCCCCCCCCGGGTCCCTGTCGGGGGCCTTCCCCCCGGGGCTGGCGGTCGGGGTGTGTGTGTGTGTCTCTCTCTGCTCCTCGGGTAAGTTGAGTGCAGCGGTTTGGGCTGGTTTGGGGACGGGAGCGTTCAGGAAGCAACATGCAGTTTGTGTTGTGGCACCCTTCCCACCAAACCAAGGGTTTCAGCCTGCGCAGCCCGTCACCCTTTGGCGTTTTCTTCTGAGAAAAGTTCTTTCTGTTCTCGCTCTGGTGTTCCCCGAGGAACCCTGCGAAATTTAACCAAGTTTACCTCCTCCTAGGCTCTGCAAAAAGTCTGGAGTGATAGATAAGGGATAGGGACATCCACTCCTGTTTCCACAGGATGTTGGGATGGGGCAATCCTGAAAAACAAAAAGCACTAATCATCTTACTGCCAGTAACAACGGCAACAGCAACGAAATACAGAAGCATCCACCAATATGCTGATGTAATGCATCAGCATTGGGCAAAACCGATGGTAGTTTCTTCTCCCCCTGTGTGGACGGACTTAAAGTGCACCCTTGTGTTCTGAAGTCCATTGCCTGTGTCCAGACTTGTCCTATAATAGATGTCATTGCACAAGAGTTATGGGGAGTAAAGAGCGTGCCGAGTTTCTTTCATTCTTCTTAGGATCTATGCTTACACTGAGCTGTGCCAGCTGTCTGTGTACACTGAAGAGAGAAGGGTGCAGCTTGGTAAGCTGCCCTATGAACTTGAAGGGGAAAAAAAATAAGGGAGAAACTATTCCCTTCCTCCTACTATTTCCAAGTAAATGACTTTGTTTGTTTGCTGTCATCTGAAATAATTTCTTTCACAGAGTGCTAATCCTCATCTGAACTGGTGATGATGGTAACACAGCAACTGAGGAAGCAAATATGTCAATTCCTTCCTTAGTTTCTTTCCTGTCTCTCCTTTAACTTTTATAGCTTGCTTTTTGAATTCTGCCTGATTTTTTTTATCTAGTGCTGAGGTACCTATGCTTGCTCTTTATGTTAATTATCACCAAACCTAGAACAGGGGGACTGGCTCTTTTCTGATATGTCATATATTTGTTTCAGGCCAAAATAACAGAGTGTTTTGGGAGGATTTTTGTTCCTTATGATAATGAATATCAAAGTCTATGACACATCAGTGGCATAATTCCTTGGGTTTACTGCTTTCCAGATAGAGGAATGTATTTCATAGAATACCTCTTAAAATTTTTTATCTTGCAAAACTATGAATCATGTTAAAATAATAACAGTTTAAAATACATTTACTTCTTGACTAATCATGAATTTATGGCAAAAATGAACATTGTATGTTACATAATATACTTTTAAGAGTGTGATCTAAGAATGTAAGCTTGCATTTCAACTTCTTGTTACTTTATGGTCTCAGATGGCACATTCAAAACCTTATACAAATAGCTTGAAAGAGATAGTGGCAAGTTATCAGAAGGAGAGTAGCATTAACACAAACTACTGAAAAGTTGCCATGGTAACAGATAAAGGTAATCCCTGTTTCTGTGAAAGTGTGTCCTTTTGTAACAGCTATATTAATGAGTCTGATTTCTGAGAGAATTGTAAGTATACAAACTTCTAGCTCCATTTTCTTGGCAGCTAATACACATGCAGCTAGTTTATTATTTTTAATACTGAATGGGCTATAACTTGCATTCAAGATACTTGATTTAAGCTACAAAGAGTATTACGGATTACATATAAATGAACTTGGAGCATGCTGAATTCAGTGCAAACTAGTATACTTTTTTTTTTCCACCGGAGAGATATCAGATGTCAAGGAAAAGTCTTTTTAAATGGCTGGATCCTTTCTCAAGGACTCTGACTGAAGCAAGTGATGTGGCCATCTATCACTGGAGTCCTTGGTGGTAGAGCTGTACAAGATATGAGTTTATGACCTGATGTAAAAAAAACACCCAAACACAAACAAATGCAAAAGACCCCACAAAAAAAACCCCAAACCAAACAAAAAACAACAAAACCTCCAAATAACCAACAAAAAAAAAAAGTCAAACCCCGAAGCCAAACCAACATGGCAACTCCTGGAAGTGATTGAGACCTGTTAAGGATATGCAGTTTTAGAGGCCAGGAGATAAGAGGGAAGGGGGAGGGAAAATAAAATACTATTATTTTAATGGCTTGTTTTCTATATAGAAGGAAGCAGTTGGAATTTAACATGAGGATGAACTTAGTTCCCTGGGTAGCTAAGCTTTGGATGGTTTGAGATAGTTGTCTGGACAGCAGTAAAAATGCACCAGACAGAAACACATTCCCCAGGAAGTTTTAGCAGCTAACCAGTCCACTCTGATAAGACCCAATATTTATGACATGCACCTTTTTGTTGTTTCCAGATTTGATTATTGCAGTGCATTGGATTGAAAGCAGCAAGAGACATCTCAAAGTTCTTCAAGAATACTGAAATCTCATCAGTCTGGTATGTTGCTCTTTCTAGACTCCTGGAATAGCAAGCTGAATTCTTTGTATGTGAGGGCTTCCTTAGTTACTCCTAAGGATACTGAAGTTTCTAGGACTTTGGCTTTTCATCATCAGCTTCATTCTTGGGAAGTAATATGCTACTCAGAACTATGCAACTGTGTATTGCTGGGGTTGCATAGAAGATTGTTTTTGGTAGTGGTGTTTGTAGCAGGACAATGAACCTGCACTTCAGAACCTTCAGTCAACATACACTCTGAACTTGTTTTCATCTTGGCTGTCCTGCCTGGAAATTCGAGGTACTTTTACAGACTTTTAAAACTAAAGTCAGGATGAAAAGGAGCTATTGCTAATTGCCTTTTGAGAGACTGCACACGCAGGTATTGAAGAATGAGTAAGAATACAAAAAGGAATGTTTATTTCATCGCACAGGGAGTTGTTTTTTTTCTTTCCCCCATCCTTATGTAGACGTGGCTGTCATGAAGTTTATGTTGTTTAGGCTTGATTAAAAAATGATTATTAATGTCTCAAAATCACTTCTGAAATGCCAGTTCTGAAATTCCTATACTAATGTACTTACTAAACTGATATATTTGCAAAAATATCTTATACAGCAACATCATGAGAACTGTTGTTTGTAAACAGAATTGCAGCATGTTACTTTTAAAGCTGTCTCTAATAATAAAAAAGCTAAAAGGCAGAGCTATAATTGTTTAAAAATAATAAATAAAAAATTCAGCACTTGCTGTAGTGCTGACATAATTGACAACCAGAGGGTAAAGTCCTTTTGTACAATGCAAGTTCAGTATTTGTACGCAGCAGTTCAGTTGCTTTGCTACTTATTAACGTGTACAGAATCCAGGAGGTATAATGTATTTGAGACGGTGAAAAACAGGTGCAAAATTGTGAAGAAAGCCCTTGTGATTCACACTGATCTGTAGGGAACTGGGCAGCAAGTAACCATCTCTTCATCTAATCCCCGAGCAGCCATCACATGTAGCTTTTGATCACTACTATTCTGGTCTCTGTTTGAACTGGTGACTTAAAGATGAAAGGCTCTGGTCTTGATCTCTTGAGCTGTCAAGTCCTCCAAACTTGCTGTCTTCTGTGTGTGTAAGATTACAGAACAAATAGCCTTTTAGCTGTTCCATGATTACAATAGTCAAATGAGAGTCAGGTGCTTTCTCTTGTTACTGTCCTCGGTGCAAAGTTCAGTGGCAGCAAACTGAATCTTTTTTATGCTGCTGTCAAAGCTTCCCCGTTTAATGTACTTGCTTTGCAATCTGTTATTTTCGTTTTTCCTGCATTGCTACAGTTATTGTAAGAGTAGCAAAGGCATAACTTGAGCCTGGACCTTAAAATAGTGCCTCTGCGTTTTCTCCAAAATATGTGTGTCTTTACAGGGAAAATAGGTGGTTTATATGCAGAAACCGAGCTTATAAATTAGGCTTTTTAATATTTAGTTTCACTAGGTCTCGTTCAGCATGGGATAAAAACTTGAACAGCAAATTTTTTTATGTCTGGATTTCCAACATCTAGGTACAGATGTTTACCCATGATGTCTATTTCAGCGAGGTGGGTCAACTGTGAACCCAGTTTCAATATCCCACTTCACAGATTATTTTTTTTTAATTTTTTTTTCATCTTTTACTCCTGTGAGGATGGCAAATTATTTTGAGGGCTTTCTTAGCAAGATTTGTGTTCTGTGGGCTGTTTTTGTGTGTGTGGTGGTGGTTTTTATTTTGGTGTGGTTGGATTTTGGTTGGTTTTTTTTTTGTTTTAATGAGATGAGGTAAGCAGATGTAGGAGGTCACAGTGCTGAATGGAGGAGAATCTGCTTCGCCATTGCCCTTACGCTCAGGGTAGGCCGTGCCCTTGCTTATCAGAAGCTGGCCAAACTTCTGCCAGATCAGTGGCTGGGGCAGATGGAAGGGTCTGATGAGCACCAGAGCTGGGCTCAGGGCAGACAGCGTGACTGGGAGGGGAAAGGTGGGGAGAAAAAGGGATGAAACTTCTCCCTTGCAGTGATAAGAAGCTGCCTGTGTAACAGAAGCATAAGCTGAAGGGTGGGATGTTTGATGATAAACATTATTTTTCATCACCGCTGCAGTTGCGAGGTGGCTAGACTTCCGTGGAGTTTTCTTGTCTTCTGTGCCCTTGGGTTGGTGAGAGTTGTGACTTTTGCTGTTGTTCTTATGGGCCTAAAGTTAACGTGCTCTAAATTGGAGCTTTCCAAGATTGGTTACTGAGATACTTGGAGGACGCTTTACTGGTATGTTTTGTTTGCATGAACTATGTTCTTGGTTTTGATTGCTTAGATAACATTTGGTCAAAAAAAAAAAGTGCCATGTAAGTATGACCTCGGAGTTATCCTCAGGGGACTGGATGAACTTCCAGCAGCAGTGACGCTTGCAGGGCACTGAATTCAGGTGCACGGGTTGAGGTCTGGTTCTTTCAGCTTGTGTTTTAGGTTCCATAGGGGAAGTTATGTAAATCTTGCTAATTCTGGTCTTGTAGTGTTTCGTAGTTATTCACTTACAACTGTGCAAATCGCCGCTTTTCAGCCCTATTTGGATTTGTGGTGTGATGGATTGCTCTAAAATAGAAGGTAAAAGTGAAATGTGCTATTTGGCTGTTCTGGAGGAGTTAAACGTCCTTCCTGAAGGTGTTTTTTTAGGCTCCCTTTGGTTTATGTATCACAGCTCAAGGGAGTGCTTAGCTGTAAATATTTTCCTGACGTTGGGTGGTGGTTGCAGTAAGGCAGTATGCTGAACTGTCTTGGGCTTGATTAATCTGTGTTAGCAAACTTAAAACAGGTATTTGTTTTGGGGTGTAGGCGAGGTGGGGGAAAGTGGGCTGCTCCAGCACCGGCTGGAGGAGAGGTGGGGAGGAGACCACAAACAAGGAGGAGTTTTTCCTCTATTTCGCCCCCACCCTGCCCAGTACCAAACCAACACAAATGGGATTACACTGGCAAGTGCTATATTGTCCTCTAGCTTTAATATTTTCAATTATTTTACAGTAAACACAAGAAGATGTTTTCTCTAAGGTAGCCTTGCTCACCAGAGGAGTCCTGTGTCGCCGCGGTGGTGCTTTGGGGGTGCTGGCCGTGTTCTGGCTCTGTCCCACGTTGCTTGTTTGGAACGGGGCAAGGTTTTTCTCAAACGAGATGTCACTTCTGCACTTGTGAAATAGTAATTGAGCCTTGTTTTGACTCTTCTTGCGCGTTCACTCCATAGATGGGGCAGGGAACCGCTTCAACGTTTACACCCAGGAAAAAGAAAAAGCTTTTCATCTCAACGGCAGGTTTGGTGTGGTTTTTTGCCTTTTTTTTTTTTTTTTTTTTTTTTTGCTGGGGTGGGAGGAAAAAAAAAAAAAAAAAAAAAAAAAAAAAAAAAAAAGTTCTAGGAAAAATATTAAACCC